TTATCATGTACGACGGCTTTTGGTGGTATCGCAACCTCCACTCGCAAACATTCGGCATTGAAATGGAAACCTACACACTCAGGCAGACCATCGACAGAAGAATGACGCTTACGTAAGTAAAATATTTCTTTTCCTTATATATATATATATATATATATATATATATATATATATATATATATATATATATATATATATATATATATATATATATATATATATATATATATATATATATATATATATATATATATATATATATATATATATATAGGGAGCGGATCAGGTGAGGAGTGTCCTTACGCCGAGAACTGCGAAATTTAACTTATAGACTAAAAACACGAACTTTTAACTAATAAATCATAACTTATAGACACCCTCGAAAATAATTACGAAAATGCCACCGCAAAAAATAACTCCAGAAACCTTCAATTTTTTTTGACACGGTGGCATTTCCGTAATTATGACGGAGAGCTTTATAAGTTATGATTTATTGGTTATAAGTTCTTATATTCAGTCTATAAGTTTACTGCGTTGTAAGATTAGATGCAAATTCAAGGGCTGAGATTACTTCTCACTTCTCATTTTAAGAGGCACTTCTCACCTGATCTTTTATATAATACATATATATATATATATATATATATATATATATATATATATGTATGTATGCATGCACGCACGCATGCATGTATGTATGTATGTATGTATGTATATATATATACACATATATGTGTGTGTATAGGGAGCGCTTCCGGTAAGAACGGACTCCCAGGAGAGAAATAAGAACGCATCTGGACCGTTGGATTGTATTATGTGGAACGGAAATGTGAATTTGATGAAACTGAAATGTATATTACATGATACTGAAATGTGCAGAATAAAAATTTAAACTCAATTGTGCATTAGGTGAAACTGAAATGTGCGAAATAAAATGTACAAAAATAACATCACATCGTACTTTTTATTCTGCACATTTCAGTTTCACCTTGTGCACATTTCAATTTCACCTAATGGACAATTCAGGTTCACTTAATGACATTGTATCATACGCTTTGTGTTGCACATTTCAATTTCACCTAATGCACATTACAGTTTCATTTAATGCACATTGAATTTCACTTAAAGCAAATCTAACGGTCCAGATTCATTCTCATTTCTCTCCTAAGATCATGTTCTTATTTGAACCAAACCATGTGTGTGTATATAGATAAGAGATCAAATACAAACCATACTTAAAATACTAACCTACAAACTGAATAATATGCAACACTTTGAATTTCAATATGCCATACAAATAATGTAAAGATGCACAGTTTGTGACAATTGACGACACCGTACTTTGGGATGTGCTATGGCCATCGATCGACCGAAAGCGAACTAGAAGCTTCCAGTTGAAAGCGTCATTAGAGATGTTGGGTTCTCGGTTTCCGTGCATGAAAGAATTTAATTTCTAGTAAAGTTAATTTGAAAAAGTAGCAGTGAGTTGATTTGTTTTTATTACTTATCTTTTGTGTGAGAATGTTCCTTATTAGTTTGGTGCATGTCTATTAATTTCTTTAATTACTTATTTTCTTGATTTTTTCCTTCTTTTGTCTTCTCTTTTTTGCATAGGACTTTTTGCTTGATGCTTTTTGTCTTCTGTTATATTAGAAATGAGTATGTGAACCCATTAGTAATATCTATTTTTTCACGGATATGTGACAAGGTGCATACCTTCATTGTTGAAAATGGGAGTATCATTTTGGCATATTTGTTTAGCATGAGGTACTATGAGATATTGATATGTATTATGTATATATTATTTGTTGCAAAGTAAGTTGTTTTTGCACGTCCAGTTACAGTGAAGTTAGTTTTGTATCAATTCGTACACATAAATAAAGTATTCGATGTTGTTGTTCCAATATATATGGAGGTAAATATTTATAATTTGAGCTTATCCTTGCCTTGTTGGCCGCCTTATCGAGCGAATTCGATCTTGTCGTGATCGACGATCGACGACAACCGGCACCAATAAGGTCTCAGCAGGAAGGTGAAGATCTCTGATGGATAGTGTACCCGGGGTTAGCTTATCCGAGGGTTATTTCGGGGAATAACTAGAGAGAAGTCAGAGTAACAAGTGAGGGAGAGAGTGAGTATTCAATATGAATTTTTGCGTGTCTTACAATGGGGAAAGGGGCTGCTATTTATAGTAGTAATAAATGCCAGACAGGGATACGTGTCAAGCATCCGACGACCGAGGGTCACCTCAATCGGGGTGGCAACAGCACTTGCATGTGGCCGCATTAAATGCGGTGGTTGGATGCGACGTTGTACTTGGTACGGTGATTCAGGCGCATGTGGAGAGGAGATCCTGTCGAGGAGGATGCCTTCGGCTGAAGGGTGTTGAGCCGAAGGCTCTTCTAACCGGGGGCTTCCCCTGTGCCGAGAGCTGTATATGCCGAAGGCTTGGTTTGCAAGCCTTGTTCTCCTGTGATGTTTCTGAGCTTGAATCTGTCAATGGTAGCCTTCAGCCATGGGGCCGAAGGCACCTTCTTGCGTACTGTGGGCTGCTTAGAGCTTCATCCTGCTGAGCTTGGCCCATTTGAGCCTGTTGCGCCTGATTGCAGTAGTGGAAGTACGTGGGCCGGGGGTCCCCGGGCCATATACTCCATCAATCTCCTCAGTCCAAACCGCCCTCTTCGAGTCTTTGTCGCAGTTCCTCATTTGAAGGAGAAGAAGAAGAATGAAGATTATCAAGCAAAATGGCATAAAACCGGAAGAAGAAATAAAAGGGAGCAACAGAATGGGGGGAGAAGTGTGGGGAGATAGGAGAGAGAAAAATCCAAGAAAGAAAGAAAGGTGTGTACCTGAGGATGGTAAGAAGGAATGAAGAAGAAAGGAGATGGGGCGGAGGGGAATATGGGAAGAGAGAAGGAAAAAAATTGATACTCCTTCAATCCCAATTTGTAAGATACATTTACTATTCACTTGATCAACATAAATCACTCTTAATCTTTTACTTTATATATCAAAAGTTTATGAAATTTGAATTATTTTGCGCAGACTTTGTAGCAGTTTTAATGTAGTTTCTGAATATGTAAATTTTGTTTTCGAAAACTAATTTGAGTGTTGACGGGGATCGATTTGCTTTATTGTCAGTCAAACATCGTAAACCGTAAAGTGTCTTACAAATTGGGACGGAGGGAGTAAATAAAATGTTTTGTTTTTCAAAATTAAGTGGAATGACACATCAACCATATGACCTGATAACCGGGTTATGGCATTTTATATCGTACACCCGAGTGTACGTGTACACCTGGTGTATTTGTAATATATTGCAACTTTGATGGCAAAGGTTACATAGTCTGCTGATCTGGTTGCTTCATTCGTTGCAGAGGAGATAAAATGACGGCGTCGAACCCTGAACGATCCTGTGGAGAATAGTTGCAGGGGAGATGAGTTACATTCTGAGAACGTTGATGACGAAGCAAGAAGTATATTCCACCATCAGAGATACAGTCGATAAGGTTCTTATCCTCCGCTTTGGCCGTGCATCAAATCTCGTCTGCCTCCAGCTCAACGACCTCGTATGACTCCAACGCAATTTCATTTTTCACCCAATCTCATGATCACTTTTAGGGGTTTCATTGTTTCTACTGATGCCAATTTAATGTTAGTACAACCATTACGATTTGTTTATGTGAATTGAAGATTCGAATCTCCCAAGGATTGTTAGCTGACTTAGCTCTATATTTGGTTGATGAACCATTTCGATGCTCATTTTGTATACTCATTCAGTAGTGATTGTATGCTCATTTTAAAATGGCATATACGTTATATTAGATTCACATATTGAAATTCATAAAACTTGATTGTAGATATAATTTAATAAGTTTTTTAAAAAAAAATAACAAAGAGAAAGTGAATCAAAAGTTATAAAACAGAATTCATGATGCTTAATATTGGAATCCTATTACTCAAAGGAATAGGTCTGATGCTCATTAAAAGTCCATTAATGTTCATTTAACAGAAATCATGAATTCCATCGATCTCAATCGAGGATGTTTGATGCTCAACGAAAATGTCGCGATGTTCAACTAATAACCCTTATGATTTTCATATCAAAGTGCATTTTATAAGTTACGTATGCTCATCTAGTACTGATTTTATGCTCATTTGTAAATGTCGTATCAATGCATTTTTAAAAGTACTATTCTACATTAGACTCACATATTGAAATTCATAGGAGTTGATTATAAATATAATGTAATAAGTTTTTACAAAAGAAAAATTAACAAAAAGAAAGTGAATTAGAAGTTATGAAGCAGATATCACGATTCTGAATATTAGACTCTTAATACTCAACATAATAGGTCTGATGCTCATCAAAAGTTCCTTAATGCTCATTCACCGGAAACCGTGATTTTCATCTCAATATCGGAAGTTTAATGCTCAATTAAAATGTCGTGATGTTCAACTAACAAACCTTACTATTTTCATATCAACGTGCACTTTATAAGTTATGTATGCTCATTTGGTACTGATGTTATGCTCATTTTTAAAATGTCGTATCAATGCATATTTCAAAAGTATCATATTACATTAAGCTCGCATATTGAAATTAATAGGATTGAATTATAGATATAATTTAATAAGTTTTTATAAAAGAAAAAATAAGAAAAAGAAAAAGAATTAGAAGATCATGTTGTGATTAGTGCAAGTTGTGAGTTGTGATTAGAAAATAATAAAATATGTCAGATGCTCACTAAAAGTACACTATTGCTCATTTAGCGCAAGTTGTGATTTGTCACATAAATTACAAAAATGTCACCGAAAAAATTGATTTATTTTTGTTATTGGGCTGTCTTCCTTAATTAGGCCGGATGTGGACTACAGGGACTCATGTATTATCACAGGCTAAATTCTAAATTTAACTGTTTTTTTAAATTTGGTGGGCTTAATTAAGCGTTGTTTTAGTTTGGGACGGGAGGGAGGGAGTAATATTTAGTCGCGTTTCCCTAGAAAGAAGGGGTATTCCCGCTGCTGGGAATGGATGCTCTTCACTGAAAATGGAGAAACCAAACCCTCCTTCACCGATCAGAGAGCCAGCTCCGAAAAAGCACAAGATGTCCACCACGACCACCGACGATGAAGACTTTGACCTAGCAGTCCCCGCTGCCGCAGACGGAGGTGCCCCGCCGGAGAAGAAACCCAAGTACAAACGTCGCAAAGTCGCAATTTTTTTCGCCTACTGCGGTGTGGGATATCAGGGAATGCAGAAGAACCCTGGGGCCAAAACCATAGAAGGGGACCTCGAAGAAGCTCTATTTCACGCCGGCGCCGTTCCGGAGCAAGACAGGAGCCAGCCACGGCGCTATGACTGGGCGCGCTCCGCCCGGACTGACAAGGGTGTGAGTGCTGTGGGTCAAGTCGTCTCGGGTCGGTTTTACGTTGACCCTCCTGGTTTCGTCAACCGCCTGAACTCGAACCTCTCTCCCCAGATCCGGATATTCGGTTATAAGCGTGCGACGGCGTCTTTTAATGCTAAGAAGTTCTGTGATAGGCGCAGGTATGTTTACTTAATCCCTGTTTTTGCTCTGGACCCGTCTGCTCATCGCGACCGGGAAAGTGTTCTTGCCAGTTTAGGGTCTGGGAATGAACTTGTTAAGTGTTTGGAATGCTCAGAAAGAGGACGTAAAGTTATAGGTATAATGGGTAAACGCAGTTTCGATTCAAATAATGAGCCAAATGTTGCTGCATCTGACCTCCCCATACATTCTGAAACTGAGGAAAAAACGGAAAACGGAAATTCCCAAGGTGAGAAAGATGAATCGACTGCCATGGAAGTCGAGAAAGGCAATGAGAGAGAATCTTTACTGGTCACACAAAAAGTGGACTTTTGTTATGGGGAGCAGGAGAAAGATAAGTTTAACAGAATTCTGAAGTATTATGAGGGAACACACAATTTTCATAATTTCACGACAAGAACAAAAGCTGAAGACCCATCTGCAAAGCGATACATAATCACTTTTGCTGCAAATGCCGTAGTTAATGTTGAAGGCATTGACTTTGTTAAGTGTGAGGTTGTTGGGCAAAGCTTCATGCTTCATCAAATCCGTAAGATGGTTGGTCTTGCTGTGGCAATCATGAGGAATTGTTCTCCAGAATCGTTGATTCAAACAGCTTTCCGAAAGTAAGTATCTTAACAACACATAACTTTCTTAAATGTGCCTGTAGTTCATGACTATTCAATGTCTCGTTTCGTAAGAGTTTTTGTTTTTCTGAAATGGGTCAATTCATAAAGATGTTCTGTCACATCCATTTCACCCCAATAAGTAAGTCAAAAGCTACTCAAACTGTGTTTGGGATGACTTGTGCTCAATTGTTCATATAATAAATACTCCGTAATTAAATACTTCTAATATGAAGATTAGTACTTTTGCTCTGGAAAGAAGTGTTGAGAAAAAAATTCTGAAACAGCAATTTTTGGGCAAATTTAAGTAAGCACCGGATTGGACCTTTTTGAAAGAGGAAAAAACCTGTAATGGTTAAATGAGAAAACACTTCTTATGTGAGCACTATTGCACAAGTTATCCCAAATGGGATCTTATTTTTCTTGTTTTCTTCGTAAGCAGGACCTTTGAATAAGCCAGCTTTGCATACTAAACACAGCCTAATAATTTGTTTGGTATGGGTTATTTAGATAAATGACTGGATCTGCCTGGATTTTTCTAAAAGGAAAACATTTTGGTATCATCCATTTAAGCCAAATAGGTAGGCCAAAATCTCTCTTAATTCTGATGATAAGCAGAATAAGTCATATTTGGCCATCAAATAAGATCCTTGGGGGTCATTTGGTATAAGTTATATGGATGAAATGGATGAATCTACTCATTTTTCTGAAAGAAATAATTGATTGCATCTTCAGCAAGTTTTTTGGTCGATAAGCGGAATAAGCCAGAGATGCTACTAAGCAAGGCCAAAGTTTCAATCGACCTTTTTTAATGCTTTACGGGCATTGTCATATTAATTGAAACTTCCACATACACAAGATGAGATAAGATTGGGATAACATTGTTTCTGTTGATAAAATTCAGGGATGTTAATATTACTGTGCCCATGGCACCCGAGGTTGGGTTGTATTTGGATGAGTGCTTCTTTACATCATATAACCAAAAGTGGAAAGATCACGAAGAACTGTCAATGAAAGATTATGCAGATGAGGCGGAGGACTTCAAAATGAAGTATATATACACACATATTGCATTAGCGGAGCACAAGGAAGGAGTGATGGCTTTATGGCTGCATTCTTTGAACTACCGTAACTACCCTGATTTAGCTTCATCAAACCATGAAAAAACTGCAGATGTTAAAAGTGGTGTAACTACAAATATATATACAAAGAGCGGGGCAGCCGTTGATTTGTGTGATTTGGAGAATGAGGAATCTGTGAATGGCGATACTATTGAATGTGATGACATGGCACTTTTATGTAACGTGAACAAGACTGGTGATCTGGACACGAGCACCATTGAAACTGCAGCTGTTGCTAATTTACATGGTGGGACAAACTACAGTTCTGCAAATGCAGAAAAGGCTTAGGATGTACTTCGTATTTCATATTAGGGATCATGTGTGTTTGTCAACATCCCTGGTTTGGTTGAATTACAAGTGGCTGGTGCCACCCTTACTCCCTTGTCCCCCCCCCCCCCCCCAATCAGAGGAGGAAACCTCTCTTCTCCCTCATCCACTACCACCCTTCAAACAAAAACAAACTGTCAGTGGGCATTTGGTTGGCTGCATGTGAGACACTAGAGGTATATATTTTATCTTCGTTTTTCTTTTTACCTCCTTTGAAAGTTTGAAGTTTTCCTCGCTGCCTAACTCAATCTTTTGCATGCGTTTTATGGAATGAGTGAGATTATGGAGTATTGTAGATTCGTAGCATGTGTTTGCTTGTCTAGCTTTATTCGATGTAGTGTTACTATGCATTGATACCGATAAACATCAACAACTAAATATTAAATGGATGGGGCATTACAGTGAAATACCTTTACTATTGATGGCAGTAAAGTCACTTATGCCTCAAAATAAATTTGACCACTAGCACACTAATTATAGTAAACTAGTAGGAGGAAAGGACATGTAAGCAGGACTTTCCCAAATTACGAAGATGCTCTTTTGTGTATGAAAATACGTTTTTAAGTCTCTGGTTTTCTGTTTTCGTTTTCCAAATCAGAAAACATGTTTACCAAAGTTTTTCAATTTTCCATTTCATTTTTACCAAAAAATGTTGACTTAATATTTGGAAATGAAATGAACAATTACAAACATTTGGAATAACACAAAAATTGATAAATTTTTCCCAACACTGAAAATTCAACAAGTGACATTATGTTAATCAGAACAACAGTCATACTTCGACATCTCATATATTACAATCATCTCATATTGCATTTGCAATACTTTCTCAAATTTTGTGCATTTGTTGTTGAGCATATCAAATTCGAGTCATCCATTTTCACTTGTACTTGCCACCGTGTCAAATATCATATCCTTGTACTCCAAGAACAAACGGTCGTTCCTATCTTGCATGCGAATGAAGTTATGCATTGTGCAACAGGTTATGGGAATTTGAACATGTCTTCTCAATGGGTAACCACGTGATATGACTAAAATGAGAAATCTTTCCTTTAGTACTCTGAAACACCTCTCGATCACATTACGCAAGGACGAGTGTCGATAGTTAAACAAAGCTTGCTTATTGCGTATTCGTCCTCGGCCTCGAAAATCATTTAAGTGATAACTCTCTCCACGGTATGGGGCTAAAAAGCCTGGAACATCTGGATAGCCGGCATCAACAACATAGTAATAACCTATAATGAAGTCAATAACAAATGCAATGGGAACATATATTTGTAAAATAGTGACTTCATCAAGACAAATTGCATAATTATTGTATTACCAATACGAGGCATGGACAACCCATTTTCGCTTCTTGTAATTGCATCTAAAAATGCTCGAGAGTCATTGCATGTTCCCTCCCAACCTGCATATACATACATAAACAACATGTTATGACTACAAGCTACCATGGCATTTTGAGTCACCGTTGAATGTCTACCGCGAAACGTCTTTTGTTTGGAAGCGGGTGCTGAGGTTGCTACATGAGTACCATCAATGACACCTACACATTTCTACAAAATTTGTATACCATTAATATTATGAGTTAACCTAAGTATTGAAAAAGGTAATTACGCTTACACATAACTCAAAATAAGGATATCATTTCGGTTTTTCTAATTTTTTTGGTTGAACAGGGTTCCTATTAACCAACTCTATAACTTCATTGCTCAATCGTGCAAGTGCTCTCACCACACGCTTCACACATAAGTGAATAGTTCACATTGAATGATGAAAACGCTCTGCACATGTACGTGGCCAACACCTTGGCATAACACTAAAAGACATGTTCCTGATTGTTCTTCAGCCCTTAAATATCTTGAATCGTGTAGAGCATCCAAATTCTTAAGTCTTTCACATAAACGTAGGAATATGTATGGGTTCATCCTAAAACTCTCATAGCATCTTAGTGGATGACCTGTCATTAATTAGCCAAAACGGTCTTCCAATCCTTATTGATGGATGCCACCGCATTAGCCAAAACAGCCAAAACGTACTTCCAGATTTCCTTTCTAAAGGTACAAGACATAAATAAATGGTGCTTTACTCAGGGGCAGGACAAAGAGGACATTTGAAAGGCATTGTATATCTGCCTTTCATTATAGTATATCTTGGCATTGTAAATACTGGCGAACAGGAAAGTAGGAGTTTTGAAGAGCAGGGGTCAGACTAGTATTAGGCATAGCCTCTCTTATAGTAATCTGGCTTAGATGAATGGTAATATCATCAAAATGGAGATACAAAGGACCAATGTCACACCAATTAGAGAACCAAAAAGAGCTATTACCCTTATTCACCTGGATGCAGCAATTAATATCAAAAGTATGTTAGAAAAAATTGATATTAAAACAAATGCGAGTTTAACCAGATAAAAATCCGGAGTTTAAATAAATCACCGGATAAACCGCCAAATGCAAGAAAAGAAAATAAAAATAAAAATAATATATTTAGAATAAATGGAAAATTGATAAAGAGAAAAGATAAGAAAGACTTATCGCATGATTGCCCGTTAAAACAGACTGACCTTGAAGAAAGATAGCCTCCGTATTCCGATAGCTATTTGGACGGATCTGGCTAGCTCGCTCCCAGGATAATCCTACCACTTTTCAGATTTGTAACTATCTTGACTGAAACCTTCCACAGAGTAATAGAGATGACTTGAACAACTTAAAACTATGGTCTCAAGCTATATTTTTTTTGGAAAGGAAAGAAGCTAGGTATGATAACTCATTCAAATAATGGAAAATGTTGGTTGGTATTGTGAGTGTCCAAAGAGTGGGAACACACGTTACTTTTCTATGTGAGTCAACACACCTTGGATGCAAAAGGTGTCCACTACATATATTTCCTCGGTTCCTTTTTAATTGTAACAGACAACATTTCACGTTTGCCAACACACAAGTTTGACTATTAATATCTTTCATTCCTAATTAGTAAAAAAAATAAAAAATTCATATTTTGAAAATTTAAAATGAGAAGAATTTAACAATATTTTTTAAAAATTTAATTTATAATACATTAATTAATAAAATATAGTCAAAGTAGAATATGTGAATAGTGCAAAAAGTCCAATGTTGCAAGTAAAAGAGAACGGTAGTATATTGCAAAATGAAAGAAGCAGGGGAAGCATATTCTACTTAATGTATGCCTATCCTACTTCATGCTTCTTTTAATTTTCCGCCATTGTTAATTACGTGCCCGTTTGTTATCAGTAGCATCGAATCATTGCATACTCTTATCGTTGCTTCTAAAAAGTTTTTATATAGTCGCATCCCTTCGCTCATTTTTTTTGAAACTATCCGTTCCATGTTCAATTGATCATTTTGTTTCATAATTCATTACGTGTAAATTCCTGTGATACTATTGCTTGCATTTTTACTTCATCTCTTGTGTTCCTAAGTTTACTTGGTTATTCAATTCTTCGTAATTGTTCTAATCATTTTGTTAGTGACTTTTATAAAATATCATATTGTTTGCATATTTAATTTAGTACCATTATATACTTTGTGTATATATGTAGTATTTTGTTCTCTAAGAATTATTTTTAATTATCTGGGACCATCTGTTTTGTGTAAACAGAATGGGAGACGAATCAAACATCACCTTTCCAAAATTGTCCACAGTGACTAATGTCCCGATCAGTTCTTCTCATGGGGAGAAACCTAATAAATTCAATGGCCATGATTTCAAACGTTGGCAACAAAAAATGCTATTTTATTTAACGACGTTGAATTTGGCTAAGTATCTCTCCGAAAGTCAACCTCTTCTAGAGGAAGGTGAGACTGATAAGGAAAAAGTGGTTGCGGTCGATGCTTGGAAATATTCGGATTTCTTGTGTAGAAATTATATCCTAAACGGACTCGATGACTCCTTATACTCTGTGTATGCCGATATAAAGACGGCTAAAGAATTATGGGAATCACTTGAGAAAAAATACAAGACCGAGGATGCCGGCAAAATGAAATTTATTGTCGGACATTTCTTGGACTTTAAGATGGTTGACCACAAATCGGTCGTTTCTCAAGTTGAAGAATTCCAACTTATTCTTCATGAAATTCACGCTGAGGGTATGTCCCTTAGCGAGTCCTTCCAAGTGGCTGTGGTAATTGAAAAATTACCTCCCAAATGGAAAGACTTCAAGAATTACTTGAAGCATAAGCGTAAGGAAATGTCCCTAGAGGATCTCATTGTCCGTTTAAGGATAGAGGACGATAACCGCAAACCCGAGCATAAGGCTGGAAGATCTAATTCCATGGAAGCTAAAGCAAACATGGTGGAAGCGGGATTCAAGATGGGAAAGAAGAGAAAGCACAACCACGAAGGAATAAGTGGAGGGAAGCCTTCATCAAAGAAGTTCAAAGGAAAGTGCTATAATTGTGGCAAGCCCGATCACCGTGCTAAGGACTATCGTGCTCCTAAGAAAAAGAAGACCGGACAATTCAATATTGTGGACGACCTCTCCGATGACATGGGTGAAATGAACCTATGTGTCGTGATATCTCAATGCAATTTAGTGGGTAACACTAAAGAATGGTGCATTGATACTGGAGCTACCCGACATATTTGTGCTAACAAGTGGATGTTCACCGATTATCATCGTGTTGATAACGAGGAACAACTATTTATGGGTAACTCTTCTACATCTAAAGCGGAAGGTCGCGGCAAAGTTTTCCTCAAAATGACAAGTGGGAAAACTCTAACCTTGAACGATGTGTTACATGTCCCTGATATACGCAAGAATCTGGTTTCGGGCCCCCTCCTTAGCAAGAATGGCTTTAAGCTAGTCTTTGTGGCTGATAAATTTGTACTTACTAAAAATGATGTGTTTGTAGGGAAGGGCTATCTCAATGATGGTCTCTTCAAAATTAATGTACTTACCGTTGTACCCAAACTTGTTGATAATAATAAAGTGGGTTCTTCTTACTTGGTTGAGTCTTCTTCTGTTTGGCATTGCTAGATTAGGACATGTAAATTATGATACTTTGCGTAGACTAATGCATTTAAAGTTGCTTCCTAAATGCCATATTGATCCTAATCACAAATGTCAAATTTGTGTCGAAGCGAAAATGGCTAGAAAACCTTTTCACTCTATCACAAGAGAAACTGAACCGCTAGACCTCATACATACAGATCTATGTGATCTTAAGTATGAAGAAACTAGAGGTGGGAAAAGGTATTTCATCACCTTCATCGATGATAGCACTAGATATTGCTATCTGTATTTACTAAGAAGCAAAGATGAAGCGATTAATGCTTTTAAGCATTATAAAGCCGAAGTTAAAAATCAACTTGGTAAGAAGATTAAGGCACTGAGGAGTGATAGAGGTGGTGAGTATGAATATCCATTTGAATCAATTTGTTTGGAAAGTGGAATTATTCATCAAGTAACCGCTCCTTATACGCCTCAATCAAATGGAGTAGCTGAAAGGAAGGATACGACTTTAAAGGACATGGTTAATGCCATGTTAGTAAGTTCTCGTGCACCAAACGACTTGTGGGGGGATGTTATTTTAGCTGCCAACTACATTCTAAATAGAATGTCTCACAAGAAAACTCTCAAAATTCCATATGAGTTATGGAAAGGGCGCAAGCCAAGTTTTAATTACTTGAAGGTGTGGGGATGTCTAGCTAAAGTAGCTATTCCCAAACCTAAGAGGACAAGACTTGGACCAAAGACCATTGATTGTGTCTTTGTTGGATATGCACAAAATAGTAGTGCATATCGTTTTCTTGTCCACAAATCCCATAACATGGATATAGTGGCCGATACTTTTATATCCTTTGAGAATGTATTCCCTTTCAAAGGAGATTGTGAAGTTGTCTCCTCCGACATGGATGTTTTCATTCCAACCCATGTCGAAGAAACAAACTCACATAAGAGGCCTTTTGATTCTATGAAAGATAACAACGAAATAGCGCAAGAATGTGAAGGGGGCGCAACAAAAGGGCTAGAAAATCAAAACATTTTGGACCCGGTTTTGTTGTATACCTTCTAGATGATGAGCCTCAAACTTAAGGAAACAATGTCCTCACCAGACGCTACACAATGGCAAGAGGCTATCAAGAGTGAAATTGATAGCATCATGTCTAATCACGTTTGGAAAGTTGTAGATTTGCCTCATGGGTCTAAACCTCTAGGATGCAAATGGATCTTCAAAAAGAAAAAAAGAGATGGAACAATTGAGAAGTACAAAGCTCGATTGGTTGCCAAAGGATACAACCAAAAGGGAGAATTTGACTACTTTGATGTCTACTCTCCGGTTACAAGAATAACTTCAATTCGAATGATATTGGCAATAGCTGCATTGAAGGGTTTGGAAATTCATCAAATGGATGTAAAAACTGCATTCTTAAACGGTGACTTAGAGGAAGAGATTTACACGCAACAACCTGAAGGTTTTACTGTCCCCGAACAAGAAAGAAAGGTTTGTCGCTTAGTAAAATCTCTTTATGGGTTAAAGCAAGCCCCCAAACAATGGCATGATAAATTTGATAGTGTAATGTTGTCAAATGGATTCAAAATCAACGAGGCCGACAAATGTGTGTATGTGAAAGGCAATCAAAATGACTACGTCATAGTTTGTCTATACGTAGATGATATGCTCATTTTCAGTAGTAACAAAAATTTGATAAAGGCTGCAAAGAGTATGATGGCCAAGAAATTTGAAATGAAGGATCTCGGTGTTGCGGATGTAATTCTAGGAATTAAAATCACCAGAACACCTGAAGGGTTGATATTGTCTCAATCACACTACATTGAGAAAATGCTTGAGAGATTCAAGAAGTATGATATCAAACCCATAAGAACTCCTTTTAATTCCAGTGTTCACCTCAGTAAAAATAGAGGAGAAAGCGTATCATCAGATGACTATCCTCAGGTCATAGGATGTTTAACATATGTCATGAATGGCACACGACCCGATATAGCTCAGGCTGTGAATAAGATAAGCCGGTTTTCAATGAACCCCGGTAGAGAACACTGGAAAGCACTTATAAGGGTGTTTGGGTATTTGATGTACACCAAAGACTATGGTTTACATTTTCAAAAATATTCATCCGTGCTAAAGGGATATACTGATGCAAATTGGATATCTGATTCCAAGGACACAAAATCAACAAGTGGATATGTGTTTACCCTTGGGAATGGTGCTGTGTCGTGGAAATCTTCCAAGCAAACATGTATTGCACGATCTACCATGGAAGCTGAATTCATTGCCTTAGATAAGGCTGGAGAAGAAGCTGAATGGTTGAGAGAATTTTTGGAAGATCTTCCTTGTTGGGAAAAGTCTGTCCCTCCAATATCCATTCATTGTGATAGTCAAGCTGCAACTGGAAGGGCAAGGAATGCAGTTTATAACGGTAAGTCTAGGCACATTCGTCGTAGACATAATACCTCTAGAAAACTAATAAAAAATGGGATCATCTCTCTTGACTATGTTAAGTCGAAAGAAAATATTGCGGATCCGTTAACCAAACCTCTACCGAGAGAGTTGGTCGAGACGTCAAGGAGAGCGATGGGGCTACGGCCAATGATCCAATAAAAGTTCATGGGGAAACCCTACCTATTATTGAGAGTGCCTCATAATTAGGTTCAAAGGGAAAACACAACTGTGGACTGGCTCGGGCGGTACTAGCCAAGATATAGTACACTCATGCCAAGAGCATTTAGGGTAAGTTACGCTTTTAATGATCTCTATATCTTGATTCGTTCAAGTAAGGTATGGCATGATACCTTCCATAGAGATCACCTATGCTGGTGGAAGAAGGCCGCTTCTATGAGAGTTTAT